TGCGGCCATGCACGGGCAGACCAATACGGCAGCCAAGGTCTCATCTGTCGTAAGACACAGGGAAAGATTGCCAGACATGAAGCAATCAATGACATCATCAAGAGAAGTTTTGCTTCAGCTGGGTGTCCAGCACAAAGGGAACCTCAGTTCCCAGATGGTTCTCAAATGTCCAGATGGAGTCACCCTGCAGCCGTGGAGGGAAGGTAAACAGGTCGTGTGGGACTACACGTGTGCATCAACATCGGCTGATACCTATCTACCTTACAGCACAGCTGAAAGAGGCGGGGCGGCCACCTTCAGGGAGACCCAGAAAACTAATAAGTACAGGGACCTGGAACGTTGTTACAGGTTCGTGCCAATAGGCTCCGAGACTCTGAGCGCCTGGGGTAAATGTGCACTTAAGTTCCTGAATTAGCTGGGCAAGGAACTCATTGGGAAGACTAGAGACCCAAGAACGTCCAGTTTCGTGTTCCAGCGCCTCAGTGTCGCTGTTCAGAGGGGAAATGCGTGCTGTATCTTGGGTACGCACCCGACCCCCGAGGAGCTAGACGATGTCTTCGAACACTGATTGGTATATTGTTATATAAGTGTGTGTTTTCTGTAATCCGTAGCATTGCAAAAAAATCAAATAAAAAAAAATAGGGGGTGGTAGGAGAGGAAAAGATTAAAGTATTCAGTGAGAATCCACAAGGTCTTCTCTGAACACTATTTATTTTCTTCTTCGAGGATGTGGGTCCCTTTAATTAAACCAGTGGTGGTACCCCTATACATATATATATATATATATATATATATATATATATATATATATATATATATATATATATATATATATATATATATATATATATATATAATATATACAACTTTAGAACACTTTCCCACCAGGAGACTCGAACCCTAGCCAGCACAGAAGCCTTCCAGCAACTGGCATAACAGGCCTTAACCCTCTCCACCACCCGCTCAGACCCTTAAAAGAGATGGTAATTTCGGAGTATTTAAATACCCCAAAGATCAACACCTCCCAAGAGCACCAGAGCAAGTGAGGGGTCATTTAGACGTTAATTTCATCAAGTCCCTGTTAATATGGGAAGACACAGTGTCTCTGCTTAAGGCACAACTCTCCTAAACACGAGAGTTAAGTATACAACTTTAGAACACTTTCCCACCAGGAGACTCGAACCCTAGCCAGCACAGAAGCCTTCCAGCAACTGGCATAACAGGTACGCCTTAACCCTCTCCACCACCCGCTCAGACCCTTAAAAGAGATGGTAATTTCGGAGTATTTAAATACCCCAAAGATCAACACCTCCCAAGAGCACCAGAGCAAGTGAGGGGTCATTTAGACGTTAATTTCATCAAGTCCCTGTTAATATGGGAAGACACAGTGTCTCTGCTTAAGGCACAACTCTCCTAAACACGAGAGTTAAGTATACAACTTTAGAACACTTTCCCACCAGGAGACTCGAACCCTAGCCAGCACAGAAGCCTTCCAGCAACTGGCATAACAGGTACGCCTTAACCCTCTCCACCACCCGCTCAGACCCTTAAAAGAGATGGTAATTTCGGAGTATTTAAATACCCCAAAGATCAACACCTCCCAAGAGCACCAGAGCAAGTGAGGGGTCATTTAGACGTTAATTTCATCAAGTCCCTGTTAATATGGGAAGACACAGTGTCTCTGCTTAAGGCACAACTCTCCTAAACACGAGAGTTAAGTATACAACTTTAGAACACTTTCCCACCAGGAGACTCGAACCCTAGCCAGCACAGAAGCCTTCCAGCAACTGGCATAACAGGTACGCCTTAACCCTCTCCACCACCCGCTCAGACCCTTAAAAGAGATGGTAATTTCGGAGTATTTAAATACCCCAAAGATCAACACCTCCCAAGAGCACCAGAGCAAGTGAGGGGTCATTTAGACGTTAATTTCATCAAGTCCCTGTTAATATGGGAAGACACAGTGTCTCTGCTTAAAGCACAACTCTCCTAAACACGAGAGTTAAGTATACAACTTTAGCGGGTGGTGGAGAGGGTTAAGGCGTACCTGTTATGCCAGTTGCTGGAAGGCTTCTGTGCTGGCTAGGGTTCGAGTCTCCTGGTGGGAAAGTGTTCTAAAGTTGTATACTTAACTCTCGTGTTTAGGAGAGTTGTGCCTTAAGCAGAGACACTGTGTCTTCCCATATTAACAGGGACTTGATGAAATTAACGTCTAAATGACCCCTCACTTGCTCTGGTGCTCTTGGGAGGTGTTGATCTTTGGGGTATTTAAATACTCCGAAATTACCATCTCTTTTAAGGGTCTGAGCGGGTGGTGGAGAGGGTTAAGGCGTACCTGTTATGCCAGTTGCTGGAAGGCTTCTGTGCTGGCTAGGGTTCGAGTCTCCTGGTGGGAAAGTGTTCTAAAGTTGTATACTTAACTCTCGTGTTTAGGAGAGTTGTGCCTTAAGCAGAGACACTGTGTCTTCCCATATTAACAGGGACTTGATGAAATTAACGTCTAAATGACCCCTCACTTGCTCTGGTGCTCTTGGGAGGTGTTGATCTTTGGGGTATTTAAATACTCCAAAATTACCATCTCTTTTAAGGGTCTGAGCGGGTGGTGGAGAGGGTTAAGGCGTACCTGTTATGCCAGTTGCTGGAAGGCTTCTGTGCTGGCTAGGGTTCGAGTCTCCTGGTGGGAAAGTGTTCTAAAGTTGTATACTTAACTCTCGTGTTTAGGAGAGTTGTGCCATATATAATATATATATATATATATATATATATATATATATATATATATATATATATATATATATATATATATATATATATATATATATATATATAAAAATATATATATATATATATATATAATATATATATATATATATATATATATATATATATATATATAAATATATATATATATATATATAAAATATATATATATAAATATATATATAAATATATATATAAATATATATATAATATATATATATATATATATATATATATATATATATATATATATATATAGATATATATATATATGTCGTACCTAATAGCCAGAACGCACTTCTCAGCCTACTATGCAAGGCCTGATTTGCCTAATAAGCCAAGTTTTCCTGAATTAATATATTTTTCTAATTTTTTCCTTATGAAGTGATAAAGCTACCCATTTCATTATGTATGAGGTCAATTTTTTTTTATTGGAGTTAAAATTAACGTAGATATATGACCGAACCTAACCAACCCTACCTAACCTAACCTATCTTTATAGGTTAGGTTAGGTTAGGTAGCCGAAAAAGTTAGGTTAGGTTAGGTTAGGTAGTCGAAAAACAATTAATTCAGGAAAACTTGGCTTATTAGGCAAATTAGGCCTTGCATGGTAGGCTGAGAAGTGCGTTCTGGCTACTAGGTACGACATTATATATATATATATATATATATATATATATATATATATATATATATATATATATATATATATATATATATATATATATATATATATATATATATAATTGTTCTTCATTATTTAAAATGGACAAGCAAATTCTGGATAAATTTTTAGGATGTCGTCCAGTACACCAAATTCAATGAAATAGTTACACAGTTGGTGGTACAATAGGCCAGGTGGTCTAAATTCTTTTTACGGTTTCACATTCAACAATATAGTGTTCTAGTGAATGCATTGAAGGTTTGTTTTCAATCGGAATATTCTGGTAGTGCCTCAGCCACACTAACCTGCCAGATGTGCCTATAGCCAAGGCGAATTCGGGTAATGACTACATCACATTGCCTGGTCCGGTTACTGTGCTGACATACAAATACTTATTATTACAAAACTTGTCAAACCTTTTAATACTGCAGCTTTCAGGTCTCTGGGCATTTCTTAGTTCTTCTAAATCTGAATTAATTTCTTTAATTTGTATGCTTCTAATAATTGCATTAGATAGTCCAAAGTCATAATCAATATTTTCTTTCCTGCAAGCCTCATTATCCAATCGATCTACAAATTCATGTTTTCCACCTGCAAGGGAAGGGATCCACACAAATTTTATCCAATAGTTATTGTCATTCTATTTAATCAAGACTCATAAGCCTAATTATTCCACAAGGCCTATTATAAGTTTTGTGGGACCCATTATCTTTGAGCTTTCTAAGTGGCTCGCTAAAATTTTGTCCCCACACTTTGGTACTATTTCTTATTCGCATTTGACTAGTTCGGTGGATTTATATGATCTTTAGTTAAATGACTTTTAACAAATTAAAGAATGTTCCAAATCATTACTGATGATAAATTAATCGAAAGAAAAAATTAATTCGAAAGAAAAACTATTTCTTCAAATCTGTATAAGAAATGTTTTAAAGAAATTTATTTGTAAAATTACCCCCAGAATTATTCCTTGGTTTAGTTAGGGTGATGATATTTTGTGTATTTGGTCAACAAAATTAAAATTGAAATGAATTTTAAGGAAAACTGACTGACACCACCAGTCTCCGTGGTGCAGTGGTAAGACACTCGCCTGGCGTTCCGCGAGCGCTTTGTCATGGGATCGTATCCTGGCCGGGGAGGATTTACTGGGCGCAAATCCTTAACTGTAGCCTCTGTTTAACTCAAAAGTAAAATAGGTACTTGGTTGTAAAAACGATTCTTCCCGGCGGGGATCGTATTCCAGGGACCTGCCCGAAACGCTACGCGTACTAGTGGCTGTACAAGAATGTAACAACTCTTGTATATATCTCAAAAAAAGAAAAAAACTTAATGATCAAGTCACCTCTATCAATGTAAAAAATGCCAGAATGTTCTACATGTCCATCATGTCACTATTGGACTACATTGCCCTGCACCTTATGAGTCTCTCTAGCAATAGGATTAAAGCTTTAGAGAGAATTAGAAATGAAGCCATGAGGATAATTCTTGGAACCCCCAGATGCACAATAGTCATCACATGAGGGTGTGTGTCAAAGCAACACAAGTAAAAAATTATTTTCCGGTTTGTTCAACTCATTAGTTCAGATTTCTACTCTTTAATTTCGTTGTACATCGGCATATATAGCAATGACCTCATCGTTACTATTAGTATTCACCAAAACAGGTGGATAGGCTAGATAATGAGGCTTTATGTTTTGAGAGCACTTACTATCTATTACTGACTTGCTGGAGCCAATTTTACATTACACATTACTAAGTACATATACGTCGAAATGTTACAGTAAATATTGAAATGTAATTTGGCTATTTAAGCCCCAAAGTGACTCACTCTTGACATCTATGATTTCTTACATATGAAGGAATTCCTTAATCTGACATCTAAACATTATATATCTTCACAAATTTCACTGAAGACTGAAACAGTTTTGTCAACAATGTTTTGTGCTGTATTTTTTGTTAATCCCCGTGACGAGTACCAGACATCAAACCGGATCTCTTCACATATTTTGAGTAAGTAGCAGATGAATGTAACGTCAAGAGCATGAATATTTACATAACTTTTAAAATCTGTTAGCTGAACATGTTTACCTACTCCGTATGTTCTGGAAAGATGTTTAAACATATTTGTAAACAAATAGTCTCTCGTAATAGGTTGTGGATTTGCAAAGAATTTCTCAGGAGAAAAATCAGCTGGTCGAAGCATTCTCTCAATGATCATATCTTCAATAAATGATTTTTTCTACAAGTTATTCTGAAACTGAACATCATGCTGCTTTGCATACATCCAGAAATGATCTTTAACATTGTAAGGTGTTGAAATGCTCTGAAACATTGGAGCACCATGGAAACCCGAAAGGAAGGTCTTGGAGTAATCTTTCATGTAACGACGCATATCAATGGGAATACGACTCCTAATATTGTAGGCGTCTCGTGTAAAGCCAGCCTCCATTACTACCTCAACAAGAGCCGTGTTAATTACACTCGTAAATCCTGAATTGAACGATATATTTTCAGACTGACACTTGGCATGAAATTTATCAACATCTGAGATATTCAGAAAAACATTTTCCAAGTATTTTGTCTCTGCCTGAGATGGTTCTGGGGCTCCGAAAGCTTCAATGAGGACAGAAGTGGCAGGCTCTTGTTTTTTAAGTTTAATTAATGAGCTCAACCGCTCAGGATCATTTTCAAGAGCCGATTTTATTTGTTGGGTAATTTCCGATGTCTGACTGTGGTCTGCAAGTTGACCAAATTGCAAATCATCAATGGGCTTTCCGCTTAGCATGTCATCAATGATTTTATGGAACCAACCAATAATCATTATGATATCAGCACCATCAATTGCTGCATGTTGGCACTCAAATATCACTGTGTTCCGATATGGAAATTTTTTGTTTATCTCTGGCCGAGGAGGAAGGGCTTCAGGGGTAGATGATAAAAGTCGAACGCGCCACAGAGGTCCATCGGTCAAATTTGTAGGCATGTTTATCAGTGACTGTGTTTCCTTAAGTGGATCTGACCCTTCAACAACCTGAGAGATAAAGTAATAATAATTTGTTCAGAAATACAGTCATATGAAACAAAGGCTTAAGTAAGGTAATCCAGATAATAGAGCGATGTATCAATTATTCTAGAAAAAAATGTTTTATTAAGGAGCCTGAGTTGCTTAATATAACATAATGAACCATAAAAATTTAAGGAGATAATTAGACCAGCCTTTCACTAATCAACCCATTGACCTCCATTAGTTAACCAAAATAGTAGTGCAAATTAACGTAAGGGTCAGTGTCTCATCAAAAAGACACTGTTGGATAAACCTAACCCCAATGTCCGTTGATCTAAGCTATTAAGTCATTTGTTACTTAACCTTAATTGGATAAAGCTTTAAAGTCCTTTGTTAGGTAACCTTAAGTGGATATAGCTATTAAGTCAGTTGCTACTTAACCTTAAGTGGATTAAGCTATTACAAACATTTGTTAGTTAACCTAAATAATAAAGGTGAATTGAGCTCATAAGGTCTAGCGCTTGAAGACTTAATGGGCTCTAAAGCTCTTCCAAACTTCACTTCAACAATAAAACTCAGTAATGTGTTACATAATCATTTTCAGTTTTCAAAATGTTCTAGTTTTTTTTCGATGATTCGTGCGCTTGAGGAATCTGTAATTATGACCGGTAAATATATTCACATTACAGCGTCTTCATTTGAATGACCTGATCACAGAACTATGATTACTAATTTACAAAATTCATTTGCAGCCTCTTGGAGGCCCCTCATCGGCCTTATGCTGGAATATTATTGAGGTTCATCACACCTGTATAATTATGACACTGCTGCTTAAATGTAACATACAGAATGTCCAAATTAGTATAAATTTGTCGATGAAACGTTTTCACTAAGAAACAATATAGGAAACTCTGACCTACTTGTGCTAATTGGGGTGAGTTCCCTCTATTGATGGTAAGGGCTAGTGGTCTAGTGGTTTTGGGATTAAGGCCTATCTACCTATGGAGGATTATTAACCCTTAAACTGCACACCATAACCAAGGTTGTTTCATTGATAGTGTACACCACAACCAGGGTTGTTTTAGGCCTATCACAAAAGTGTAAACTCCCACGCATACATGGGGATCACATTAGCTTCCTCAGGCCTCCAGTAACCATCCCTCATTAACAACAACAAATTATCCTGCGTCCCTTGTTTTCCCATCTAGGACCTTAGTAAGAAGATGAGGACCATGTCTGGTACATCACCACCCAGTGTCTGGACGTGCTGGGCGCCCACAATTGGAACTAATAAACTTTTACCAACAGCAAATAAGTGATTACCATGTAAATATTTAAAGGCAAACTGTGTCCTGTGTGCAATCATAAGATTTAGGTTTTTAATTATTAATATATGTAAATGAATATGAACACATACATGGAGTGCATGTCTTTGACACATTTCTGTACATATGAATATTAAAAAAAAAACTACAATTGGTGACATTTTACAATTTACATTTTTATTTGAAAATGTAAAATTGTCAATTTATTAAAAAAAAAAATATTTATTTTTTGTGTTCATGTTACTATGTTGATGCATTAGGAAAAGTTGGGGCAATTACCATGTAGACTATCAACAAAAATATTTAAAGAGTTTGAGGAGAAACCGATTTTCCGGCTTTTGTAGCTGATGAAGCAATTGTGTGTTGTTACAGAATTCAGGCCCTTTTAACCTATATCCCGCTTATAAGAGTCATATGACCCTGAATTGTATATACCTTGAAGCATGGGGAAGAGATTTTGTATATTTTAGGAGTAGCCTGAACTGTCAGTTGACAGCAATTATGATTCTCATTGTTTTGAAAATGGCTTTAGGCTTTTTCGGCCAGGAAAATATGGAGGAGGGAGGAGAGCATTACCGCTGGATGAGACGAGTACACAATGCATTGTGGTAGCCGCGCCAGCTGCTTGTTGATTGGTCAGTACCAGGTATGTGGCATTGTTGCCAATAGGGTGCTGCCTGTGAGGGGATGGTTTGACACCAGCTAAACTTTCCACTTGTTTTACGTGCTGTGGCACTCAGCACGTGCACTTCATGTGCATGGGACTAGTTCTGGTAACCCATACCGAATCATCTCGAGTTTGGGCTCATCTGAGAGCCCGAGTCCTCAGGATTCCAAATATGCTACAATGGCCGTTGTTGCATATATGTGCAAAGTGTTAGAGCGAGCAACAGCTTTTGTTTTGTAGAGCTTGGAGGGAGACAGGGTTTGCATGGGAAGGCGCGAAGCGTGGAGGCGAGGGTGGACCACTTGCTACCATCGCAATGCCAGCTGGCCATTTTGGTCGGCCATCTTGGGGTCGCCCCTGCGGCTATGCAAGCTCGTCTCTGATTGGCTAAGAGGCTAGGTAGCTGTGATCCTTCCTTTGAATGGTTCGCTTGAGGAGGACCCGGGAAGATGCCGGCGTCTTGCCTCAAGACGCATTCTGCCTCCTGCCTTCGCCCTTGCCTGACGTCCTCCTTTGCTCATTCGGCCAAATTGAGTAAAGAGCGTCGTGGCGGTTGGCTACTATACATCTCCAGCTACCAGCAACATCGACGAGAGTCCATGGTGTGGGATATTTGGGGCTTGACTCTATTTATTTAATTATTAAATTAATGAAATCAATTACGAAGAACCACCCGCTTTTAAGAAAAGAGGGAAACTAATAAAAAGTGATCATTAGAAACTCCAGGAAGAACCAGTGTCTATGGCTAAATATTAGGAAGTATAATCACTTAAATAATTAATGGGCTGTATAGATAATTAACTTGAATCAAAGCTTCAAACACCTACATTGGTGGGTTATTGCTAGAACTTCATATACGTCTAGGAACTAGTGTGGTTCGTGCACCAGGTCATTGTGTAATAACTAATCTTATGACCGAATTAAAGAAATCTATAGAAGATTATCACCAGTAATTATAAAGATCATTAGCATCAGAAATTAATCATTCAAATAAACACGGATTATCTCCAGTGTACATGATCAGCATCCAATTAGATAATATGACATAGAAATAATGAATTTTAGAGTAAATAAGTGAGTACAAAAAGTCTTAGCTTTAAGACGATTTCAATGACATCATTTACGACTCATCCTCGGGATCTCTGGAATTCCTCGTAGAAGCACTTGGAGATGAATAACACGGAGTAAGGTAACAGCTCGTGGACTCCTCACATGCGAGCTGTAATTTAAGGGATATTACGTAGCATTGAACTAGGCTACTGAAATATCTATATTCATGAAAATGGAAAACAAATTAGTTATGGTACTAACATGGGATTTGTTAAGGTCGCTCGATCTAACGACAAGCTGCCCCGACATATACAATCTCTAATGGTGCATCAAACGGGAATTATATACTTAGCTAAGGGGTACAGATTATGTTGAAGCTTGCCGAAACCGCATCCCAAGCTCCAACTCTCGCAATGGCGTACACGTGGTTGATAGCTTGGCTTGAATGTCGACGCGTTATTAGTTGGCCGGTCACTGCAGATCACGTAGAACAATATTAACTAGTTCTATGTTGAGTACCAGGGTAATTCTTGCTGATAACTTCAACGTCACGTGTCTCAGACTCTGACACCAAGACCTTGTTGCTCAATTCCGCAACACGAGACTTCACGCCACACACCCTGGCGTCTCGTCCACAACAATGGCTACTCCTCCCTCTCCCACTCGCGTCCCGCATTCGCCACAGAAATTATTTATCACGAATAATATTATTTCGTGCAATTGTGGTTGAAATTCTTTAATAAAGACTGGGTTGTAATTCTAGGGAGTTAAATATTATTACTTTCTCGTCTTATGGTAGTAAACAAGAAATGGAGAAGATTTTAGTTTTCTCCATGGCATTCACGCGTGACGGTAAAATTATTACTTGATAACAATTGTAACTAAAAACTCTCTATTTGGAATTATTTGGGAGTTATGTTATCCGTAAATAATTATCACACTGAATACTGATGATTTTAGAGAATCACATTCAATTCTCTAACACACTGGATATAAATGTGTTTAACTAGGTATAATCTGACGCAATACTGGGCTTAGTTTCGTAAGAATTCCAGCATCCTTATACAGATATAATAGTTAGTTCATGTGAACATCACTGTTAGTAAATTTTAGTAACTACAGTAATTAGTATATTTTAATACTAGTTTATAATAATACAATAGTATTGTATTAGTGTTGGAAATTTCCAACACATGGAACGTAGCAGAATCTGGGGAACTCGTCGTATTTAGGTAGCATAGCAAGGGAGTGTAGAAACAAAATCGTGGAACGTGGGTAAAGTAGCATACAAGCAGTTACCAGATTCGTGGGGCCCAATTTCAATGATTAATCAGACATTCTGACCACCTGCTAGTGTTCTGTAGCAGTAGAGTGAAAGGGTAATATCTTGTCAAGTGTTCTGGGGACATGTTTTCCCATAGAAATTCGTAGGAATTTCGTGAGAGACGCCATTCGTGTACGAACACCTCACTTCGCTGGTGGGGGTACGGAACTGCGCCGTGTGCTGTGAGTAAGGGTACGAAAACGCACCGAGCCACGCGAGACTCCATCCTAGGCTACCACCTTAGCCCAGCCGCCGTGACTACCCACCTACAGTAGGTGCCTGGGTATGGTAGGACACTTGGGTATGTACGTGAATAATCCAGCTGTGTAAATGAAGTAAGTACCCTGTGTGATTTTTTATGATTATTATCTCTATGCCTGGATTCGAGGGTCAGGTAGTCCATCAGCATTGTCTCCAAGCACCTGTAGAGGTGAAGAGAAGTGCGGGCGCGTGGGATTTTCACCTTTATTGACGTTCTTGTCAGTCTACAGGGATTTTACCTGTGTGGGCAGGCGTATATTTGTGTGTGTGTGTGTGTGTGTGTGTATACACGGGAACAGATAATACATATATTAGCCAAGGACTGAGTGGGCTGTCCTAGTGGTTATATTCCACTCTGGTAGGATTTTAGGAAATTCATTCTAGGTGATTCTTATTCCATGTGGTGTAATCTTTTGCAGGAGAAGAAGTCCAGTACTGGTCATAAGTGCACACGTAAAGAATGTCTGTATGTAAGTAACACCAGGGATTTTCCTGGCTGTTGATTATTGTGAAAGTACTTCCAGTGTACTCACCTAATTGTGCTTGCAGGGGTTGAGCTCTGGCTCTTTGGTCCCGCCTCTCAACCGTCAATCAACAGGTGTACAGGTTCCTGAGCCTATTGGGGTCTATCATATCTACACTTGAAACTGTGTATGGAGTCAGCCTCCACCACATCACTTTCTAATGCATTCTATTTGTCTACTACTCTGAAACTGAAAAAATTCTTTCTAACGTATCTATGGCTCATTTGGGCACTCAATTTCCACCTGTGTCCCCTAGTGCGTGTGTCCCTTGTGGTAAATAGCCTGTCTTTATCTACCCTATCAATTCCTCTGAGAATCCTGTATGTGGTGATCATGTCCCCTCTAACTCTTCTGTCTCCCAGTGACTTGAGGTTTAATTCCCGTAGTCTCTCCTCGTAGCTCATTCCTCTCAGTTCGGGGTATGTGTGTGTGCGTACTTACCTAGTTGTGCTTGCGGGGTTGAGCTTTGTCTCTTTGGTCCCGCCTCTCAACCGTCAATCAATTGGTGTACAGATACCTGAGCCTACTGGGCTCTATCATATCTATATTTGAAACTGTGTATGAAGTCTGCCTCCACCACAGCACTTCCTAGTGCATTCCATTTATTAACTACTCTGACACTGAAAAAATTCTTTCTAACGTCTCTGTGGCTCATCTGGTTACTAAGTTTCCACCTGTGTCCCCGTGTTCGTGTTCCACCCGTGCTGAAGAGTGTGTCTTTGTCCACCCTGCCAATTCGCCTGAAAATTTTGTAGGTGGTTATCATATCTCCCCTTACTCTTCTGTTTTCCAGGGACAAGAGGTTCAACTCCTTTAGCCTTTTCTCGTAGCTCATTCTTCTCAGTTCCGAGACGAGCCTGGTGGCATACCGTTGAATCTTCTCTAACTTTGTCTTGTGTTTAACTAGGTATAGACTTCAGGCTGGAGCTGCATATTCCAGGATTGGTCTGACATAAGTGGTATACAGGGTCCATATATCAGGATCATATATCGTGGTCCATATAACATATATTAGGATGTGTGTGTGTGTGTGTGTGTGTACTCACCTAGTACTGGATATTTTCGACAATAAACACTAACAAACAAACACCATAACACATTTATTTTGTGGGACGTTAGTGCAACTGGTCTTTAATTCTTTGCCAATGCTTTGCTCCCTCCCTTGTGTCAAGGGGCTATGTCTGCTACTTTACGTGCATCTGGTATCTGCCCCGAGTCCAAGCTCTTCCTCCACACTATACTGAGTGCCTGTGCTACTGGCACCTTGCATTTCTTTATAAATATTGAATTCCATGAGTCTGGAACCGAAGCTGAGTGCATGGCATGTTTTCAATTTTTCTTTCGAAATCTAGTGCGCTCGTGTTGTTATCAGTTATATTTACAGGAGTTTGGATATCAGGCATAAAGAAATTGTCTGGATCTTTCACTTTCATGTTGCTTATTGGAGTGCTAAACATGTCCTCACACTGTTTTTTTTAGGATTTCACTAATTTCTTTGTCATCCTCCGTGTATGAGCCTACACTCGTACGAATAGATCCAATAAGGGAGTGGTTTTTGCTTTTGATTTCGCATATGTGAAAAATATTTTGGATTTTCTTTATTTCTTCAATTGCTTTCTGTTCTAACTGTCTCTCTTCAGTTTGGTATTAGTGTTTCAATTTCTGCTTGATTTCTTCAATCTCCCTATTTAATTATTCCTTCTTTGACAGGAAAGTCGTGTCTGCTTAAGCATTTTCGTTATTTTTTCCTTCTTTTATAGTGTCGTCTGCGTATTCTTTCTACTTTGGACCTTTTTCTGGATTTCCTCAAAGGAACATGTTTCAGACAGACTTTTCTGTCCATAGTAGCATATTTCTATTAGTTGAATAATTTTGATTGATAGGCTACGTATATACCTTCCCCCTTCAAGTTTGTTAATGTGGAAACTCCTAGCAGGGTAAAATTTAAATATACAGTCCTACAAAATATAGTCTATTTACTCTCAAAAATTATTAAAAAATACATTCCACTTTGAATTAATAATAATTAATGGAAATAAACTTAATAAACTAATAATTAGTAAACAAATAAATGCCTGCCGGGAGAAATTCCTTACATCCAGTTATACTTACCTAATTGTGCTTGCAGGGATTGAGTTTCGGTTCTTTGGTCCCGCCACTCAACTGTCAATCAACTGGTGTAAAGGTTTATGAGCCTATTGGCTTTATCATATCTACACTTGAAACTGTATATGGAGTCTGCCTCCACAACATCACTTCCTAATGCATTCCATTTATTAACTACTCTGACACTAAAAAATAATCTTTCTAATGTTTCAATGTCTCATTTGGGCACTCAATTTCCACCTGTGTCCCCTATTGTGTGTGACGCTTGAGTTAAATAAACTGTCTTTTGTCTTCAATATCAATTCTTTTGAGAATCTTGTATATGGCGATCATGTCCCCACTAACTCTTCTGTCTTCCAGCGACGTGAGGTTTAATTCCCT